CCCTCTATATTTTCAACTTAATCTACAAATAAGCTAAATTTCTTCGTCTTTGATTTCTTGTCTAAATGTAAGACTTTTTGGTAACTCAGTGTTGTCTCTACGTATTTTGACTGATGAGCCATGCCATTAAGCGAGCCACTTTTTACAGCCCCGATAAGTCCTTGTTTTCTGCCTTCAAACTACTGTTCATACATCCCGAAAAGCTATATAGTGTTTGACCATAGTTAGAAAGCCGAAAAAAATACTTTGTGTATCAAAGATATCTATCAAAATGCAGTGAACTCTCGAAGATTTGTAGTAAATTTCTTAGCAAATTATCGGAAGCTCGACCCGATAGTCTCGTTTTGATGCTACGTTCATGACAATACCGCTGGTTTGTTGGGGTGGCGTGCTCAACTACGATAACAACTATTAGATCTCCAGCATTCCCACGGTGATCAGGACTAAGAAGTTTTAATTAGAATATGTTAAGAGGAAATTTTTTTCCCAATAATGAGCAATAATGGCAAAAAGCGCCAAAAACTAGGCTTTCGTATGAGTTTTGATCCCAATTTTCGTTTTGGGTTAACACTCAAACTTTTTTTAAACAATTATATAAAACTGATGTACTATGATGAAATGCCTGTTTGAAGTATTTTCAATTGTACTAAGATGTTTTATTGCATATGTGTTAGGATGTTGCTTTGTTAGGCTTTTTTATAGAAAATATATGGGAAATAAGTTAATAAAGGCCTAAACCTCATTTTCGATTTTGCTTTGGGTTAACACTTTGATTCCACTTTATTTCATCGGTCATCTCCAGTTCCAAACAAATTAAACTTTCTAAATAACAAGATTTTAGCCTTGTTCAACAGCCTTTCTTCAAGAAAATAGTTTTTGGCGCTCACTGCTTGAATGCGAAAAAAATTCTGTCTTAATAAATTTAGTCAAGCAATCTTGAAACAAGATTAAGCTTTTAAGAGTAAAGCTAATCAATCTAGGCCTATCAAGTAGATAAATAAATAAAGTAAAATGATAAAATGAAATAAAGTAAGATAACATAAATAATGAATAACGTGTCAAAATGTGTCTAGAAATATTTGGCTATTTTATTTCTGATTGTATGTATCCTGCCAAGAATTATTGATATGATTAGTAGGGATAAGAAAATGTATAGATGAATCCATTTAAGGTCTTCCGCAATTACAATAGACACTGAAAACTACTAAGTAGATGTATTTTAATCTTAGGACAAAAAATGAAAACATTAGAAACAAAGAATTGTAAGGCTGCGTTCATAATGTATGGCAG